TGAAGACATCAGTTGCCCTTAGGGCCCAGTCACACCATCAAGAGTGCGTTCCAGTGCGTTCGTCCTCTGGTACTCACTGGAACGCAACCTGGCCGTCTCACTTTGTTTTGGGGCGGGAGGGGGCGTGGCGGTGCATTGAATGCAGATCGCACTGGACCAGAAAGCAGGCACTAATGTGCCACGTGTTTTGGGTGTCGGCGATTGCACAGTGGGGGCATGGCTGCGGTGTCATTGATTTCAATGCACTGACTAGCCCCCTCCCGCCCCAAAACAAAGTGAGCCGGCCAGGTTGCTTGATGGTGTGATTTTGCTCTTAGACCATTAGAGCCCTGGGGAGAAGAGGCTGTAGGGACCGGTCTAGCAAAGGAGCTAGCGGGAGAGGGGATCAGGTAAGTAAATCTGCTTTACTCCAGTCCCTAGACAAAAATGAGCGCTTAAAGTGACATTAAACCCTCAGATTTTTTAACATAAACCAATACTGTAATGTGCGCCTTACTGTAATCCATGGTTGTTTCTCTTCTCTTTGCTGCTCTTCCTTTTAAATCCATATCAGCTCCCTCCTCATGTATCACTTCCCCCTCCCTTGTAGATGGTAAGCCCTCAGGGGCAGGGCCCTCCTTACCATCTTGTCTTGAATTGTATTGTGATTGTAATGTCTTCCTTATATTGTAAAGCGCTGCGCAAACTATTGGCGCTATATAAATCCTGTATAATATTAAACCTAATAAGTGAAAGTGAAACTGCAGCATCAGGTTCCCTCCTCTGCCAGGCAGAGTTTATCTTTTATTGTAAGTAGCAGTCTTATATGGTGGACATGCAAGCATGGTGTCCTGTGACGTGTCTGATCAATGTCTCCCTTGTGGCCCTTAAACACAAAATCATCTTCTAACCAAAACAGCTGGATCGGCAGACTACCTGTCTATAGCAGCGGTAGGCAACCTTGGCACTCCAGCTGTTGTGGAACTACAGGCATTGCAAGAACCCGACACAGGCATGACTCCCAGAGTCATGATGACATTTGTGGTTTTACCACAGCTGGAGTGCCAAGGTCTACCCCTGGTCTATGGGCTGCTTTAGTCTTGAAGGGAATCTTGCCTGTTCCTGACATGTACATGTGAAGTATGAAATTAATCATATGTGGAGGGTTTCATTGCCAGGTTACCAGTTCCCAGTCACGCAGAGAATCATTTACAATCAGCATACATCCTAACCTCCTGAGATGAAAAGGAGGGACACCCCCCCCCCCCC